TATATGTGTGTGTGTGTGTATATATATATATATATATATCTATAATATTTATATGTAGATATATATTCAAGTGTCTCAGATGCGCAGCGCATACGCACAGCACCTCAGATGGCACCAAGCTACTGAGCGGAATGGTGCGAGTCAGGTATGAACGAGTCATCTATTACGGTGGCCAGTGGTATCGCGGGCAGAACAGGCCCTTTCCAAAAGACGCTGGGTGCTGGCTGGGTTGTTTGGAATGGCTGTTGACCTGGTATCTTTTTGGACCGGCAGGACTAAAACGTGCATAGGCGTACAGTAGTATACGCGACCTATGTATGTGTCTTTATACGCTTCAATACGGAATGATATAACTGTGACGGTAGAAATTCGTACGGCAGACCTAAGCGGCCACTACTTCCTATAAACACTGGGTGATTGGGTGGTTTGGGATAGCTGTAATTTTAGTGCTTGTGTAACCTTAAATTGAACTTCCAGGTCCTTTTCGAATAGCTTTAATTTAAGTGCTTGTTAAACATTAAATTGAACTTCCAGGTTCATTTCAGATAGCCTTTATTTGAGTGCTTGTTTGTATACGAACGTATGTCCTGAATAAACATATGTACCATTGCATCGAATCAACTCCCGCAGGCAAAGCACATGGGCCTATGGTATATCCATATGTATATGGCCGTATGTGTCATGAATGAACATATGTACCATTGCATCGAATCAACTTCCGCAGGCACAGCACACGGGCATATGGTATAGCCATATGTATATGGCCGTATGTTCTATGAACAACATCTGTACCATTGCATCGAATACGCTGGCGCAGGTAATGCATGTGTGCCTGTGGTATAGCCATATGTATATGGACGTCTGTGTCGTGTCATGAATAATCATCTGCGCCGTAGCATTTACAGGATACCGTGACATGGGCAGTGGAGTTGGGTGGCCCAACCACATGGCCGTAGCAGGTGGTGCACACATGCAACCCCACAGGATGCGTGCGTGTGGTTGTGTTGTAGCACTCTTGGGTGTGTGGTAGTCCTGATTGTAGTCCGCTTTATATAGAGCAATGTCCGGCTATTTTTGTGTTGACGCACTCTTAGGTGTATGGTAGTCCTGGTTGTAGTCCGCTTAATATAGAGCAGTATCCGGCTATTTCTGTGTTGACGCACTCTTATTGACGCACTCTTAGGTGTGCGATAGTCCTGGTTGTACTCCGCTTTATATAGAGCAGTATCCGGCTATCTCTGTGTTGACGCACTTTTAGGTGTGTGGTAGTCCTGGTTGTAGTCCGCTTGATATAGAGCGGCATCCGGCTATTTCTGTGTTGACGCACTCTTAGGTGTGTGGTCGTCCTGGTTGTAGTCCGCTTGATATAGAGCAGTGTCCGGCTCATTCCTGATAGTTGTCTGTCGGGGTCAGTGTAGTGCATAGCCCAGGAGGCCTCGTCCTTCCCTATCTCAAGACACACACGTACAGAACGGCCTGAACTACTATACGTTTATACACAGAAGGGTCCTATACACGTGTATTTGCCAGTGGTATGTATACATTAACACTCGGCACAACCCCAGAACCAGCCAGCCACCCCTTTCAGCCTCATGAGCGCAGGTATCTCGTCAGACGCGCTACAGGGTGTGTTGGCGCACTGTTCCGACTCGGATAGGCACTGTCTGCCTGAATGAGTCTGTAGGTTAGACTGCGTAGCCTGGTAAGGCACCCTTGCATCTCAATGGAACTCTACCTGCGCGTTCTATAAATAGCATATACTTACTTAATAACCATGTATGGCACACTAGAACACCACCCCAACGAGAAAGCCTTAATGCCGGGTCTGAGAGACAACCTATGGGTATGCACACTACCAGGCATCCCAATATCCCACGGAAGATGTGGTGCACAGTCTTAGTATGACTGTACATACATTCTCAATGCTATGTCAAACACTGTGCTGTTCCAATGGGCCGTTCTAGTTCAGTGCATAGTGCAAGGCGACCCATCGCACACGCAGCTTTGGATCTGCGTGTGCCGACACTACGGCCATTGCAGCGGCGGTCGTATTCTGCACGAGTCGTATTCTGATACGAGTCGTATTCTCATACGAGTCGTATTCTCGTACGAGTCGTATTGGTGTACCGCTGTCGCAATTTTGTACGACATTCGCATCCCTGTCCACCCGTTGTAGTCTCGTGCGACAGTTGTGTTCTTACTTGTCGCATTGCTGCACAGCTGTTGCCATCACATGTGACTGTCGTATTGCTGACTGTCTTCTTCGTGGCCATAGCGTCTGTGTACGGCTGTAGCTGCCTTACTGTGTATGGCTGTAGCTGCCTTATATGTCGCATTGCTACACAACTGTTGCCATCACATGTGACTGTCGTATTTCTGACTGTCTTCTTCGTGGCCATAGCGTCTGTGTACGGCTGTAGCTGCCTTATACGTCAGTCGTGTTCGTGACTGCCACATCCCTGTACGACTTTGTCCGTCATGTGCTTCACAAACTCTGCTACAATGGCGTGGCGGTGTTCCCTGCCCGTGTGCTGCATGTTCAGTGTTCTGTGTTTGTTGTGTTATTGTATTGTGCTTGTTGTTCTATTGTATTGTGCTTGTTGTCCCATTGTATTGTTCTTGTTGTTCCATTGTATTGTGCTAGTTGTCCTATTGTATTGTGCTGCATGTTCAGTGTCTGTGCTTGTAGTCTCATTGTAGTGTGCTTGTTGTCCCGTTTGAGTATACCACACTTGCGCCGCCGCACTATACGCCCCCACAGTGAAGGCAGTCGTCCGTATCTCCCAGCCCAGTGTCAGTATAGCCCATCAGATAGCAACAGATAAGACAGGCGTGTGTGTGTCATGTGTTCTGAGTATGCTGGTGGGATATACCTGAATATCCTTATATATCGAATGCATCGTCGGGATATGTCTTGTAAGGTCAGTGACACCACCAGATAGCAGTAGACAAGACAGGCGTGTGTGTGTCATGTGTTCTGAGTATGCTGGCGGAATACACCTGAATATCCATACATAACGAATGCATCGTAGCGATGTGTCTTGCATGGTCCGTGCCACCATCGCGCACAAGTGGGACTGAATGTCTGCCTCTGTTTCCAGAGAGCGTCCCCATTGGCCATACCATATTCCAACCGCCGCTCATATCCACAATAGCCCAGATATTCGTGCAAGGCTAGGAAAAAGGCCCATATTCAGACCCTTTACACGCCGCTTTGTGCCTTCATAGAACGCTTTCTCTTGTGTAGCATGGGTAGGCCTCGCAAAAGAGTGTGGCTCTGAGCGGGGATGGTCGCGTGGAGTGTTTCGCTTACAGTTGGTGTGCATGTGAGACATACACCTAGAAGGCATCCTGCAACTGAGGCGTATACCTACTAGAAGGGATCCAATAAGAACGACCGCAGGGCAGGGCATTCGGTGGCGTGGGGCACCCCGAGAAGTTTGTCCAGGTACAACTGTGAGAAACAGGTGCACAGGGGCGGTAGCACAGGGGAGGTAGCACAGGGGAGGTGAGATAGGGCCAACAACAATTTGGGACATTCTTTCCTACTGCTAGGGGGATAGCTCAGAAGTTTAGGACTCGACGAGTATTGTAATGTGCACACAAGGCGATAGATATGACACACGCCTACGCACTCACAGGACTATATCTGCAAAGCGTATAACCACACCGACGCGCATAAGAGGTCTACACATGCACAGCTGTACACATACACATATGTAGAGCACAAGTCGCACACATACAACAGCACATGTGGTACACATACACCCACACACCCACACATACACATTGGTATACCCATACGCCTCTACACACATACACATTCATTCACACATACACCACACCACACCCACACCCACACCCACACCCACACCCACACCCACACCCACACTCCCTCCCACACTCCCACCCACTCCCACCTGCAACTCGGCCCTGCGATCCCTGATGAACTTCTTAGACGCCTGGTTGCTCCACCACCATGACTTGGGCGGCAGAGACGGCAAGTTAGCTACAAACTGGATGTGCTCCGCTCGGAAGTAGCTGAGCACCGCCTCGTGCATGGCTGTGAACTGGGAGTATCGGTGAGTCACGGTAGCGGTTTCACCTGTGGAGAACTCGGTGCTGATAGAGTATAGCACTACATAGGCGCCGTCGTTGACCGGCAACCGGTGAGCGGCCGTAATCACAACCCGGCCATAGTGAGAGTCGCATTTGAACGGAGAAGCTGCGCGCAACGGAAGGCTGGCGGGAGACGTTGCGGCGTCCGTACTGGAGGGAGAGACAGATGGAACAGGCATATACTATGAATATAGAGATAGGCCTATACTAAGAAAATATAGAGTTAGGCATATACTATGGATATAGAGATAGGTATATGCTGTGAATATAGAGATAGACATATACTATGAATATAGAGATAGGCATATACTATGAATATAGAGATAGGTATATACTAATAATATAGAGATAGGCATATACTATGAATATAGAGCTAGGCATATACTATGAATATTGAGATAGGCATAAACGATGAATATAGAGATAGGGTGCACAATATATACATAGGACGTGTATGTAATGCTGTCGAGATTGATATAGGGCGTGTATATACATATACATATAATATATTTGTTGTGCGTGTTTGTTGTTATATATGTATGTATGTATGTAT